AAATAAACAAAGAAAATGAGGTTGAAAGGATAAACGTCTTTATCCCCTGAGAGAGGTCCACTCCTGTCCTTTATCATGGAATCTATCTGATGTATCTTTCCTTGCATAGGATGTGAGATGAGGCTCCATACTTCTTGATTAAGCTAATCCATTTCACCTGATTGACATTTTAGACCCTAAGGTACAATGGGGTTTTCTTTTTCCAAACTTACATTAATTGAGATTACTATTGTTTTCTTGACTAATAAATTCTTTGTAAATTGGATTGTAATTGCATTTGATGGATGAAAATGGGATTCTTAAAAGAATTATTTTCATTAGTTTGTGAAATCCGAAAATTACTTGATTTCGGATTAATAACTTGAAAAGAAATGTCTAGTACAATAATTTATGACAATTTACTGCTGACAGGATCGACCATGAATCTATTCTTTCTGAAAGGGAACAATAATGTGATTTACAGAAATAATCTGTACAATGCTTTGTAATTTTTTTTTTTAATGTTCTTCTCAACTTCGATCTTGGCAAAACAATGTAGAAAAAAGCCAATATCATCGTGCAGTAAAGAACAAATTGGAAAAGGGTCTTTGAAAATAGGGAAAATTTCCAACTGGAAAGGTGAAAATGTGAAGCACAGTTGGTCCAAAAGTGTAACCTCTGCCGTGTTGTTTTTGGGACTTTTCTGAACTTTTTAGTCTTTTTATTGCTACCTTTTGAGATGACCAAATTTTGACAAATATGAGCAATACAACCTTGAAAAGTATCAAGCCATCATTTTAGTTCTTCAAAGAAATCAAACTAAATGATTGAGGCATTGAAAATATGTCGGAGTATCAATTTATCATGACCACGTATTTTACCTAACGAACTAGTCTAGTCATGAGTCTTATATATATATATATATATATGTTACAAAAGTTTATCAAATTTGAAATATGAACCACTAAAATAAATCATGAGTTTCATTAGAACAAAGCCATATTCTAGGTACATACTTTCTAGGGTTTATGCAAGTTATATGCTCTCTATCTTTTACCTCTATATTTTACTCAAATAATTTAATATCTACAAATTGCAATAACTCAAAAGTATTAAACAAGAAAATTTTGAAAAAGAATTCAATTGAGAACTCTAATGAGCACAGTCTAGTTCCAAAAGCATGTGGTTTTTAATTAGAACTAACGACAAATTTTCGAGAATGTTGTTTCCTGCCATTTTTAATGTTTTATAACATATACGAGAAAAGATATTCATTTTTTCCTTGTAATGTAACTGGGAGGGATCGAATTTATCAAAGCAAATAATAGCAGGAAAAAAAGAAAAATTCAAAGGGATTTATAATTATACTACAAACATGGAAACTATAAGGACAAAGTTGGCAAGTGAAAATGAAATAAAGACTTGCCAACATCATCCTTTTTTTATTTTTTGATGGACCAACATCATCCTTTCACAATTGAGTTTGGGTAGTACAATAGCAAAAGCTGGTTATGTCACATTCATTTAGGATAATGGATTGAACCTTTGGATTTGTGAGCAGCCAAGGATTTTTATTCTCTTTTTTTTTTCGAGTTTGTTTTCCAGCCAATAAGCAATCCCAAATTTCAGTCCCTACACCCTAGTACCCATATACGACAACGTTTGATTAGATATGGTGGAGCCCTTCACAGTTTAGATGTTTTACTTTCTGATGCCGAAAGACTCCACAGAAGCGTATTACATCAAACAAACATGCACCCAATTGTTTACCAACACGAAATCATCAAGAGTAAATAATTGCCAGCATTTTTTCTTTTCTCTATTTTGCTGAGGAAAGAAATTTTAACTCACACGTCAAGCTATGGTACTTGGATTAACAAACTGCAGTTTCTTGCACTATACAAAATTGGCTTTGCTGCTCCTGTTCTTGCCAAAAAAAAAAAAAGATACAACAGAAGCAATTTTAACACATATGTGGGAAGATGAGGAGCATTAAAATTCAATAATTACAATATCAAATTGTAACTCTTTGTTCACGATAATTCACAAAATTTAACTACGAGACTCTCTCTCAAATCCACTCTCAAGACTCGACTCGACTCGACTTAACTTTTTTTTCAAATCTACTATATTGACTCGACTAAATTGGACTCATCTTTTTAAAATTATACTTTATTAACTCTCTCTTCAAAAGAAATAATAATAAAACACTGGCATCCAATTTATAATTTACCGAACGGACTCAACCCACTCGTAAAAGAAAATTTGCAAAATCAAATACTAATAGGACTAGACACTACCTACACTGTAAGGAAGCTGCATCTACCAACCAAATGAGCTTCGAGTTGGGGCTTTGGACAAATGACAAAGAATTAAAGAAAGGCTACCCTCTAAAAAAAAAAACCAAGGAAAGACGTACAAAATTAACTTAGCATGGGCTATGATTCCATGCAACTTCCATAACTAAAACTTTTTACAGTCATCCAAATAAACACCTAATTAAATTACTAAATTAGCTTGGTTTAATTTCCTTCGTTGGCACTTTCAACATGGGTTTTTTATCCTCATCATTTCTTCTCAGGAAGGCAAGAAATTGTTTCCAAAACAAATGATTAATTTTGTGAAAGACAGGAATATTTTCTTAATAGACTTGATTTCATTTGAACAATGTATGAAGATTTCGTACAATATATCTTTAGGCATATATTTTAGGATGAGTATGTGTCTATCTAAACAAATGATTTTTCGATGGGTTTTTATTCCTCATTAGTATACTAAATTTATACTACTTAATTTATCATGTAAATGTCTACTCATGTTTTTATTGATCCTTGAAATTAGGGTCTGTTTGGTTAGCATGGTTTGTTAAACAAAATTCCAAACATTATTCAATTTGCGTCATAAATATTTCAATCACCTTTTTATTTTATATATATTACATTACAAAAAATTTTCTCATGCTATTCTAAATTATCTTTTATTTTCAAAGAATCTCCTATCCAACAAAACTAACGCCAAATCCCATAAACCATTTTTACCACTAGTCATTAAACACTACGAACCAAACCTATTTATAAGACTTAACACCCGACAATCTGCAAACATGCGAGTGGGCCTCGTACGACATGGAATACAATTATGTCCAACTGCGTAAAAATGTTGCTGCCTTGTGTTAGGATCCAATTTGGTTTTTAACACAACATCAACTTGGATTTAGATTTCTTCGCAATGATAGTTGTAGACTTGTACATTGGGCTTGTCAGAGCTCAATTTAGTTTTAGTTCACTTGAGTCAGAGTTCAAGTTCGTTGGGATCTAGCTTAATCGAATTCAATGGAACCTAATCGAGCTTAGGTGATGTGATACATAGATGAGCTTTCGAACTTCGTATATCATATTCGAGTTTTGATCAAGTAATCTCACGATTAGCTCAGACTGACTTGATTCGACTGCATTCGTACTTTGCATGGTTAAAGTTTGAATTGAATTCAAGTAGCTTATATGTGTTAATTTATAGAGCTGCAATATGTACGTGTGAGGCTAAAAAACTAGTCGAGCTTAATCGAGTCTCTTATGTATTTTTATTTTATCTATTTATTATTATTCAATGTCAATCGTACCTTTTTAAAAATACAAAAATTAATTTCAATTAAATTTGATTGAATTAAGGTTTTTTTTTTTTTGGAACTCAAGTAGGCCAAAATAACTATGGAACCCAAATCTTAAGAGCTTGATAGCTGAACCTCACATATTTTACAAATTCAAGTTTCTGATCATTTTTTATCTTGAAATCACTACGTGATCCATGTGTAGTCATTTTTTATGTACAAACAAATTAGATTCCACTTTGTTTATGTAAAAATGAATATAAATTGGGTCAGATCTCATTTTTTTCAAGAAAAAATGAACATAGTTCATGTCAAATCCTACTTTTTTAAAGACAAAAATGAATATGATTGGATCATTTACTTAAACTCCAAATGGAATCTAATATTTTTGCCTCTAAAAAATAACCACATGTAATTTACATGATGAAATCAAGATAAAAATGGTCGAAAACTTATGTTGAGATCAAATTTTACAAGCCATGTTTGATAAATCAATTCAATACTTAAATTTAATGGATTCAGATCTTAACGTATTGAGACTGTTTGACAACCAAAAATTAAATATCTGAATTAATTAAATGATACTAAATTTTCTAGACAAAATTTGCTCCCAAAATTAAGTGATAAGCTATTCACTTATCACTAAATATGACATACATTTAAATGTATTAGATTTAGTACTTAATAATTCAATAACTTAATGGATTCATACTTCAGATTTCAATTTTCAAATTTCAATTTTATCAAACGCACCTGACTTGATTTTATAAGGGATATAAAATTATCATTTTAAAAATAAAGGACGAAAAAAACCAATTGGTAAAATATGAGAAACATTTTGAATTTTTTTTTCCTGATTAAAAGTAGAGGCACAGGGTAAGTTGAAATGTTTGCGAATTGCTCGTGAGCGATTCTATCAAATATTTGGTTTAAACTCAAATTACTCGTTGTAAGTCTCAAGTTAAGTTCAAACTCTCTTATATGCTACTCGAGTGCTCATCAAGCCTAATTGAGTAATTCTATTATTTATATAATATATTTATTTGAGTTATAAAATGATCATTATGAATTTATGTTTTAACAAAGTTTGAGTTTTTGTTTGAGTACTCAAACTCAATAAAACTCAAGAACTAGATTGAGACTTATCGAAACGAGTTCAAATTTATAAACTCTATACATTATCCCGCGATTCGAATCAAGTCATGAGCTCTCTTACTCGATGGAGTGGGTTCGAATTCAACTCGATTCGATTCAATTAGTTGGCAGTTGGCACCCTTTAACTAAAAGTCAATTCAGCTAAAAACAAATGTGCTTTTGACACGACACAGTTTTGATTGAGTAACAATATGAACGACGTGGTTTCGTCCGGAAAAAATATATTATCGTTGAAATCCTGGTGAAATGACCTTTTCTCCTCCTCAGCATCTGACAGCCATCCATCAACCAACCACCGATCCCTTAACAAAATCCCCACAAAGTTTTTACAAATCTTTGAATCGTCCCAGAAAAAATCGAACCCACATATCCTCAAAATCCCCGAAATCAACACAGGGGAAAGGGGAATACAAGAAGAATTCCAATAGCCAGTAATAACAATGGCAATGAATTCCCGCCTAACAGGCCTCTTCACAAGATCCCTCAAAGCCACAAAATTCTTCTCAACCCTCAATCCATCCTTACCACCTCAGCCATCACCCCAATTTGCTCAGACTCTAGAAGGATTAAGGCAGCGTTTGGTTGAGGAGTCCCCAACCTTAGCAGATTTCATAAAGCTCCAGTCAGAAAATGAGTATTCTGTGGAAGTTGGCACCAAGAAAAAGCCATTGCCAAAGCCTAAATGGATGAAGGAGTCCATCCCTGGCGGAGAAAAGTATACCCATATTAAGAAAAAGTTGAGGGAGTTAAAGCTTCATACTGTTTGTGAAGAGGCTAAATGTCCTAATTTAGGAGAGTGTTGGTCTGGTGGAGAGACTGGGACTGCCACGGCTACCATCATGATTCTTGGTGATACTTGTACTAGGGGATGCAGGTGAGGAATTTAATTTCTGGGTTTTTTTTTTGAACACTTTATGGGTGGGTTTTTGTTATTGGGATATTTTTTTGTGTAAAGTCGGATACTTTGGATGTGAATGATACAATCTAATTAAGGTAGAACATGTTAAAAATGCGATTTTTATTGGAAATAGTCGGAAGAGAAGTTGTTTTTTGCTTGATATTCTGTTGTTGAATGGTCAATAAATGTGGGACTAAGTAAGGTTGAGTGGACAAAAAGGATTCACCTCCAATGGAGTCATTTGCTGAATGTTTTAAATGTTATCAGATTTTGTAATGTGAAGACCTCACGCACTCCACCTCCTCCTGATCCAAATGAACCAACAAATGTGGCTGAAGCAATAGCTTCATGGGGTTTGGATTATGTGGTTATTACTAGTGTTGATCGTGATGATTTACCTGATCAAGGAAGTGGTCACTTTGCTGAAACTGTGCAGAAGTTGAAGGCACTGAAGCCAAATATGCTCATAGAAGCATTAGGTATGAACTCTTGTGCTTCTAAGGTTTAATTAATCATATGAGTATGGAGAAGTAGCTGGAAAATTATATCTGCTGAAATGATTAAATACAGAGGACGCCAATCGTGCCTTATGACTTGGCACAGATAAGCCTCTTACAATAATGATGTGCCAAGTTAGATCATCACCAATAATTGACTCTGAGAAAATGGTTACTACTTTTTTTCAGTTTCTTATTCTGATTTATACGTCTTTCATTACTTAATCTGCAGTTCCTGATTTTCGAGGAGATCCTAGCTGTGTAGAGAAAGTAGCAACATCTGGACTAGACGTCTTTGCTCACAACATAGAAACCGTTGAAGAGCTTCAGAGTGTAGTACGAGATCATCGTGCCAATTTTAAGCAATCCATGGATGTTCTAACGAAGGCCAAGGATTATGCTCCTGCTGGTACACTCACCAAGACTTCAATCATGTTAGGGTGTGGAGAAACACCTGACCAAGTGGTGAAAACAATGGAGAAGGTCAGGGCGGCAGGTGTTGATGTGATGACATTTGGTCAGTACATGAGACCCTCAAAACGCCACATGTCAGTCTCTGAGTACATTACTCCTGAGGCCTTTGAGAAATACCGAGTTCTCGGCATGGAAATGGTTCGTGTCACTACCCCATAGTTATTAATTCCTTCAGTAGAAAAGTTTGCTGGTACTTTGTTTGTTTAAATGCTTAATTTGTTTTTGGTGCTATTGTTATGCATTATGGCACTGACTAGTACAATGTAGACGTCAGAAATTCCTTTTTGCCACTAGTTTCTTGTCTTTGTTGTTTGACTCTTGCTGTTGAAATTTGGGTTTTGATCACTTTTTACCCAAATCTCTCAAATTTTTGAATAATATTCACCTTTTCTGTACATTTAAATTTATATATTTGTGAAATCTTTTTCATTGTCACCATAAGTTGTGCAAAGAAGAAAGTGCTCGAAGACTGCTATTTCACCTAAAGACTTTCTGCATTGCTATGCCTCGATATTGCCTTTGAAAATATGCTTTTGGGCTGCTTGTGTGAATAGCGAAAGTCTGGATTAGACTTGAATTTTCTTTCTGCTTTCTATAGCATACTAGCTTCTGTCTAGTAATCAAGTGCTTGAAAGCTGTGGCTTACCTTTATTACTATCCATCTTGTCCTTTTCAAAAATTGGCCATAAATATTTTATTCTCATCTTGTTCTTACCTGTGTAGTTGGAGCAAACAAAATTTTGCGCATCTTCTGGACCAGTATAACAGTGTTTATCATACTTGCAGGCTCTTTTGCTGCTTTTCTGCATTAGTCGTCTCTTTTGAACCCTATTAGCACTTCTGGTTGAACCCAAGCCATTAAAGTTTGGGGACTTATTGAGTTATCTGTAACAATTGTGACTGTATGTACAGCTACCTTACTGCAAGTGTTTCAGTAAAATATGTGCTTCGTGTTGTAACAGTTGACCTGAGAATGAATTTGTGATGCCTAGGATGACTGTTTTTCATTCCTATGTTAGCATAAGTACACTTCTTCATGCCAGGAATTGGGTGCTCAAAGTATTAGGATAGTGATTTTTAACTTGCAATGGCTTGTTAGCCTATCTATGTCAATCAAGCTGATAATTTTGCCCAAATGTCTCCTTTATAAACAGGGTTTTAGATATGTAGCATCTGGTCCCATGGTTAGGTCCTCCTACAAGGCTGGCGAGTACTATATCAAATCCATGATTGAGTCAGACCGTGCTGCATCATCTTCATAGATTCCATACCTGGAAGCAGCTGAGTTGTGCTGTAAAGCAGGATTCATATTTACGGTACTTTGACTTACTATCAGTTTTGCCATGGAGTATTAGGCAGCATTTTCTGTATTCAAACCGGGAAGATGTTACCGGCAAGGCAGCGACATAACATATGCAATCTTCCAAGCCATCAAGTTCACGTATTTGTGCAATCATACTGTATCTGAAAGAATCTCATGTGTTATCAAATGCAGATATTGTGCGTATTAGATTCCAGTTGCTGCCTCTGTGTGGGTACTCCACGTTTGAGGTTTTGTGGTTTATTTTATGGATGGTCATCCATAATATTTTTTTCCCCGTACAATTATTGATTCCCATCTCTTCAAAGGAGATTCTTGATTAGATTCATTGTGTATCGTAATTGAGAGGCATCTGTTGTATAGAATTGTTCACTGGATGATCTGTGCTGTTTGTTTTGTTTTATTTTCTCTTGTTGCTCGACTGTCCAAATTGCAGGGCTGTAAATGCAGTTGAAAACTTGCCCAGGGTGTGAATTCTTGAATGGCAAAGAAACTGTGCCTTCATTGATCTCATTGAATAGATTTAAGCTGGTCACATATTGACTTCAGATATCCTTGAGATAGATTTACGTCACACCTTACGAGAAAGAAGAAACGACTGTCTATTTCTAACTTCTTCATTATTGCTGCTTTTAGATTTTGTGGACGCCAATGGCTTTATAAACTTTTGCTTCTTTTGAGATGTTAATCAATTGATTCTGTTACACGTTTAATCTTTTCTGTTAGTTCAAGAACACAAATCCGAATGATGAAAGTGAAAGAAATAAACAAGACAAATTAAACACATTTTTACGTGGAAAACCCCTCCATTAAATTTGGAGGGTTAAACCACGGCAGAATATCTGCATTTTCTTCACTGATTTGTTTGGATATAAGGCTCAAACTCTTGAAGATTGCTCTTCAAAAAGGAACAACTTCGCACATACGCCTTCTTCTGCAACTTCTTGCTCGCTTTCTTGGTCTTGAATCTTTCTTTTGATACTCCGTCGAACTGATCAGGTTTGAAATTTAAGAAGCTTAAAGAAATCATATATCAAGGTCGTTTTTTCTCAGCTTTCACAAGATCCAGTATTGCTTCGAACATCTGAGTTGAGCATCGAAGATTGATTGGTTGCAAAGACAGCTGATTGTCTTCCTGGAATTGATGCAACAAACGCTCAAACAATACCGCAGATAAGTATGATATTGGTACACAGGAATATATCCATTGGAGACCTTTTTCGTGCTATCCACAAACACATTGAACATTGCCTTGGGGATGCGTCGACCAATGAAACCACAATGATAGCCCGCCTCACATCCCGCACATTGTCCATCAGAAGTACAATATGCTCCGTCGTCAAAACATTGAAGAAGTTTTCTTAAACGAGTTGCCTTCACCATTTCCACTCTCTTTTCCTTCCATCATTGGCACTGATGAGGTAATCTCTTGATGACAGGTGATTTTAGTTGCCTTTTAATCCTCTTGTCCATTTTCTGTACAGCATCTTGCTTTTTCTCTTGGTTTGTTCCCTCAATCTCCATTATCTCATCTGTTGCTCCAGTGTCATCCACTCCCTTGCCAGCACAAGTCTGCTGGCTGTTCGTTCCCTGTTCCTCTATTTCAGTCTGCTCCACAGAGTTACTAGAGTGTATCTTTTCCTGTACTCGAGCCTGATTTTCCTTAACTCCTCCAATGTTCAGTTTGTACATGTTGAGGTTTTCACTTGCTGGGGTTTGGGAGTTCATAAAACTATTACCATCATTTTCCTTTCTTGTCTGCCTCCAATTTCTACTTGATGCTTCAGCCTTTCCAGCACCTGTTTTTTCCTGTCCTTTTCCTTGGATTGGCTCAGGTGTTTTATTTGGCACCAACTCCCCATCCTTAAACCCCCATACAACTTTATCCTGCCTACCTCTACCTGCATTCTGCCCCTTCCGTGGTGATCCTTTCCCCCAATTTGCTCTGAGCCAAGGTCCATATTGATTATCAGATAAACTTTTCTCCACTGTAATGGGAACCTTACAGTTCCTCTCACTATGCCCTATTATTCCACATCTGTAGCAGAAGTCCGGACATCTTTCATACTTGAAACTTATCCATTTCAATGCTCCTTTCAGCTTAACTGTGGTACCTCTGAGTAAAGGTGATGTTATATCTACTAGGACCAACAGTTTCAGATGTCTTCCTTCTTTCCCTCCCACCTGAGGGACTATAACCTCTTTTACTTCCTGAAAAATGGATCCTATTTTCCACCCAACTTCTTTAGAGATCCAGTGCACTGGTAAGTTCCATGCCTGTACCCATAGGGGGGCCGTCCTAAAGGCTCTTTCGTCCTCCTCCACACCTTCGTACCACTCCTCCATCACTAGAACTCGGCTATCAAATATCCATGGTCCTCCATCTAGAATCCTCTCTCTATCATCTGTTGAGGGGATAATAAATTGGAACATGTTTGGTCCCAGCACCATGACTACCATCCCTCTGGGGTAACCCCATGCCAGGTTAGCAAAGTTTTTCACTCCAACAAAGTTGACTATTTTCTCTCCTACTATCTTCCCCACCAAACTATGCTGACACTCTTTAATACCTTTATCTACATCATCCAGATCCAGAGCAGTCCCTCCTAACTCCTTTTCAGATAATACAAATTTCTGCATAATATCTGCTAGTTCCTCCGCCATGGTGCTCCACAGGAATACTCCAGGATACCACACACGATTATTAACTAGAAGAAAACTAAACCAGAAAACCACACACCCTCAGATGGAACAAAATGCTAACTGGAAGACTTAACTATAGTCAGCAAGCTAATATAGAAAACTGAAACAAAAGTCAAAAAAACCACAGCTACAGACAAGGCTCATTAGGAAACAAAGCTTCCACCATACCTGTCACAAGCGCTGACAAAGACGAGTGGTAAAAGTTGAAGTTCTGGTTCACCAGTGAGCTTCTGGTTCAATCCTCTTAAGGAGCCAAAAGATCCTCTTACTCCAAAGTCATAAATGTGTCTGAAGGTAAGCTGGTTACTGACCACAAGATCCAACACATTAGAGCTTCCTTAATTTTATCTCTAGATTCATGGCATAATGGTTTGTGGCGGGCAGAAGTTTGGAAAATCAAGGTATGAAGTTTTGAAAGTTTTGAAAGTTTGAACTTCCACAATCGGGTAGACAGGCTCGACTCTCGAGAGGAAGAAAGTGGACTCTCGGAAAGAGGGAAAGACTGTTCAAAACATGATCAACTTGGTTAAATTTATACATGCGTGCCTGTTTACTTTTGCATGGTTCAGAAATAAAAGACGAGTGTTCAATGGCAGAATACATGAAATGATGAAAGGGGTGACTCGTGAATGTTTTTTTTTGTCAAACTTCAACTGCATTATATAAGGGTGACTCGTGAATGTTGAATATAAATATTTTGTAAGTTTTAAAAAGAATGGACATTGAATTTTTCTATAAAGCAAAAGTGAAGTGGGGCAAATATATAGTATCAGATCAATATTTCAGGAGGGCAAGAGAAGAACTTCGTACACAAATTATGAAATTTCATAGACCTATTTGCATCCAAAATTTGCCTTCATCTCCATTTCAATGTCCTCAGTTTCGAAAGAAGAAACAAAAATGACCACTTCCACTGCAGGCAAATGCATGTGGATGCAGATGGAACCTCTCAAGTGTCGCATTACTATTAAGGAATAAAGTCTAAGGTATAAATACATGCAGATGTATACCTTACAAATCACAATCAGGTTCTGTATAAACTTATAGAAGATGTTAAAGCTATAAGGAAGTAGTAACTTTTCTTGATCCTTGTGGATGCTTGTTTTTTATATCCAAAAAATAAAACTTTTAATTGAATAATGTCACGTTTAACTTGAAAAAAAAAGGATTTTAAATTCTTAGTTTTGATTGATCAAAGCAGTGATTTCACAAATGAATTTGAAACCATTTTCTCAAAAAAAAAAAAAAAAATTACTTGTCCAAACAACGTAATTCGCATACAAAAGATTTCAAATAAATGGATTTGAAATGTATGCAGAACAAATCCATGAATCCAAACACAGCTTATGATAAATATGTTTTCACCGGAGTACATGCTGACAAATATAATGTTATGCAAAAGTTTCTAGTATTGGTCTCTAAATACGCATTTTCAACCAATTTTTTTTATCTTTTCGACTCTCTTTTTATTCTACATACATAAAATGAAAATAAACTACAAGAGGGAAAACAATAAAAATAAAATTTGCTCGATAATTGTAATTTGTTCATCCATGTGACGTTTTCAGGAGAAATGGGTACCAAAAAAGCCAGTGAATTTATGCATTTGGGCCTCGAACGTTAAGTTTAACAAAATGAGCCCAAATTATTGCACGAAATTGAAATTGTTAGGCCCAAAACCAGACGGTCCACGTTCCTACTCGTTCCCTTTATTATGTCGAAATCAGAAACCCTAGAATTCGAGAAAGCTGTTCATCCTCCCGGCACGATTCGCTCGTAGCAGACCTCTCGGCAGCAGCACAAGAAGAAGAAGAAGCAGAACTAGCCATGGGTAATCTCCACAACCTTCAAGTTATTGATCGATTCATATGTTAATTGTACTAGGATTCTGTAGTAAGCTAGCTATTGAATCGAATTTTTTAAGGTTTTGGCACTATTAGTTATTGATTTTTTGGAACGACGGCAGGTAAGGTTCACGGTTCATTAGCTCGTGCCGGTAAGGTGAGAGGTCAAACTCCGAAGGTGGCAAAGCAGGATAAGAAGAAGAAGCCCCGTGGCCGCGCCCACAAGCGGATGCAATACAACCGCCGCTTCGTCACCGCCGGTAACTTTATCGTTTCTTGTCTCTTTATTTATTATGCTTCATATCATTTGTACATGGCAATTACTAGGGCAGAAATTAGAAATTAGAGGATGAATTTGTTATTTCTGCTAAGTTTATTGAGAATTTTGTTGCGACTGGCTGAGATAATATGCCTACTAGTAGAATAATGAGCTCCAGCTTCAACAATGCGGGTAAAAAAAAAAAATTCTTATCAATCTAGACTCACTTGTGTAAAAGGTATTTACCTCGGAAATATTAGGCCTTGCTTGGATTGAAGGTTTTCGTCGGAAAATATTATCGTTTTCCGTGATCACATTTCCCTATCACCTTTTTCCCTCACATATATCAAATCGCTACAGTAATTTTTCCATGAAAAATGACGGAAAATGCAATCCAAACACAACCTTAGTTTTCTTACTATAGGGATTTATTTATCATGTTAGTCCTTTTTCATTTCCATTTGATTACTTACTCTATGCTTTATGCTATCAAAAGTTTCTTAATTCAATGATTATATTAGAGAAATATGTTGCAGAATGGCTAAACGTTCTTGTTTCTTACTTCGACGGGTTTGTTTGGATTGCTTCATATTTCCCCAATTTTATTTGCTTACATCATCTTTACAATTTTCAATACACCTTTTTATCTTCCCAATATCTTTTTATCTCACATACATCACATCACAAAAAATGCTACAGTAAAAATATCTCAAATAATTTACAATCGATTTTGTACTAGTATCATACAGAAAATGCACATTAAGTCTTGTTTAAATTTGTGATTGCCTGCAGTTGTTGGCTTTGGAAAGAAGAGGGGGCCAAACTCATCAGAGAAGTAAACATGAGGATTGAGGCAGAGTAGTTTTAGTAGGTCGAATTCTGTTTTCGGCTTCCCGGGTTTTGTTCTTTTGATAATGTTATAATACTGAGTTACGGACTTTAGTCTACTTACTCTCAAAGGCTTCGTTTTTGCTCAATGTCCAATTCTGGGTTTATCATTGTAAAAGCAGGTTTGTTAAAACGTCTTAACATGAGATTGAAGGAAGGTTAACTTGGTTAATATGTGATTGGTTATCATTGTATTGTTGTAGCATAAGTGAATGGGGCGCTTAAATTCGCTTTTGTTCTGCTGCACTTGGATTACCTGCGATGGCTTCCCTTTAAACCCCAATAAAAAGGGGCAGGAAAAAATCCATTTGATAATGGATGAAGGAATGGACAAAGTTCCTAGTAATCAGCCTCTTTTTTTTTTTTCGGTTTAATAATGCTATGTCATCTACAGAACAGGGAGCGAATGCAATGGACATCTGAATTTCATTGTGCGCTTGTAGAGTTGCCAATTGAAATGTGTCTCTAGTTGTCCAAATACTTTTTGTATGTCTAATCAGATAGCCTTTGTTCATGCAATTGCCTTGAATTTATGATCTTTGTGTCAAAGTAGATTTCATGTGGTTATTTTGTGCTTGAACGGCTGAAGCACAAAAATCCTCTGTACGACATTATATTCTTAGGGCTCTTATTTATGATAGATTTTTGTATTTAACTGGACTGTTGCCTGGATGAGTGAGTTCAAACCTCCAAATTACTATTTGGGTGGATATTACGTGATTATCACCTGTAAGGTAAATTTGGGTGATTATTATCTACCATGACTTAGTTGAAAACTCTGCCCAAAAAAAAAAAAGAAAGAAAGGTTCCAACCACTTCTCGCTAACTCAATTTTTTTTAAAAAAAAATTGCAAACATGATATACAGTATTCAAATTTTTTCTTCATTCTTTATGATGTATCACGTACGTCGTGTGCCTCTATTATGCCCAAGTATTAAAGATGTGATGATGGAATTTCTTTCATTAAATTACTTCTTATCGTTAACCCGCAACGCAGATAATTGAGCTTTGTAATTTCCCATCTCAAATTTTAGATTTCTGAAGCGTTCTGAAATTGAAGAGGACGGTAAGTTATTGTGGCATCTCTTTTCTGGTCAAAATAAGTGAGGATTCAACTTTTGTTGGCCTCACGAGAATAATCCTTCTAGTCCATGACTAAAAACGTGAATGGCGAAACAAGGAAATGTGACAGTTTTAGAAATTTGAAATGGAGCCTCGTGGTTACGACGTACGAATACCAAGAAAATGTGAGATTGGAAAGGTCGGTGTAACCCATCATTTTTCAAGTATGTGTTTTTCCTCTCTATATTCTTTTATCATTTGCTCTAACTTCTTCATAAAATAGGAAGAGAATGGGAAAAGAAGAAAAAGAAAAAAAAAATACACATAGTTGCCCAGACTTTTTGTCACTTGGAAATTGGCATAGATAGCCTTTTGAGCTGTTGTGTTGCCTCGTGGTTTTGGTGAGTGGAGTATATTATATACGGTGGGGACTCAGGAGCCGTGAAATTTCCTAAAGAAGAGACAAACACTCTTCAGTCTTCATGGCTGTTGCTTTGACGATTAGCATAATGATACACTTGTGTTGTTAATCACAAGACCGTTGAATCTAACTCCGTAGCCCGCAGATTTAGGAACATGCAGTTTCCTTTTCCCTTCTATTGAAGTCAAGGTATCCTAATGAACAGCTACAAAGTTAACAGCTAATTTCCAAGAAAGAAAAAACAATTGTTTATTTGCATATGATTATTATTTTTTTTATGTGTGCTCTACATTTTATCTTTGAACCATTGAGCTTTTGCCCAACGGTTAAATGTGATGGACAATCATGCTTAAATTGCTCAAAATAACTGGCCTTGTTTGAATTATGATTTTTTACAGAAAATTTTTTACATTTTTTATAAATATATTTTTTAATTATATTTTTATATCACATACATCAATTTATCACAATATATATATTTTTAATAAAAATTCTTAAAAATAGCAATTCAAGCCGGCCCATTATTGAGTTTAATTCTATTGCAGTACCAAACATGGGCTTGATGCTCTAAGAACAGTCGGCAAAATTTGTCTTGTTTGATTTGAGATTTTGAAATTTTTCCACAGACATTTTGGATTATTCCGGCCGTCTTTTAGTAATAACAAGACAAATAGTAAATACTTTTGGCAGTGGAAATTTTATCCTTTTAATATAAAGTATTTACATTTGTGCAAAATGGAGCTATCATCCTGCATTGAATGCAGTCTTTCGTGGTCTCGCTGCAAAGTTCAAAATTGTGGACAAAAGATTTTGGAAGAAAAATAGATAAGTTGGATTTGGTGATACAGTAAAATTAATTAATGCTTGCCAGTAAATCACTAAATTTCCATGACGCAAATTTGTACTATAAATAGTTCACAACTTTAAGCCTGGCACGCAAAGGATTCTCAGCAGAAAATATAATCAGAGCATTTTGGGAATAGTTTTTTGAGAGTACTTTAACAGTTCAAGTTTCAAAAATACAGTAGTAGTTCTACTGTTCTACACTTGTAGACTTGTATCAGCACAACTGTACATTAGTTTCAGAATAAAGTAAGAATTCCTCCACCACATTTATTAACTTTCAAACTA